TAGAAGATTATCCATACCGGGTATAATAAGCTTATCCTTTCATTACTCCGTTATGGATAAACATTGCTCTCAGTAGAAGATTATCCATATCTGGTATAGTAGCAGCTTACACAACAACTTCCTTTCTTCTATAGATAGAAGAGATTTCAGTTCATTATGTACATCAGTTTGAATTCAAATAATATATCAGTTTCTCTCTATACTTGTCTTTACTTTATAGTCTTTATTTTATAACAGATCATTGATTATTGATACTGATGTTCACTAAATAATCATGTCGATTAGTTTCTTTACTTTTATATCTTTTTATTTTTGTTTTATCATTATTAATTGGGAGGGGAAGGTGGGTATTTTCAATAGTGAGTTGGCACATTATTCTCTTTTAACAAATTTTGTATCTTTGGTCCATTATTGGCCATTTAGTTAGTTGTTCTAAGTGGGGTTTGTGTAAGGAACAAATATCCTTTTTAAATTTAATAATCACCATCCTCCCACTTGGGAATATCATTTTCTTTCATTTATTTTTACCTCATTTTCTTGCTTTTTCCTCCTATTGAAAATAAAAAAGAAGAGGAATGTTTTCAAAATTTAAGAAAATCCTGGAGTAAATAGTTATTTCAAATGACAAATCAATTAATGCAAAATTAGAATTTGATATCCTTGTTAACCTGTAGTGTGAGACAAAAGGAGGACGGCAAAATTATTAGACCAAAAATATAAATCTTGGCCAACTAAATAAATTTAAATAAATAGGGGTTAATCTGAGTTAATACTAATATCCAAAAAATGAAATTCTTGATACGGTGATAAATAACACATTTATCTATTCCAAAGATTATGATGGTGCACAATAATGACAATATTCAAAAATCCAAAAAGAATAAATGTAGCATTAAATAGTGATGAATATCAATGAATAACATTTATGTAAATAAAACGTATGGGTAAGCCGAGAAAGGATGAAATCAGTAGATGTTCTTTCTGACAATGATGAATAATAGATCAACCTTTGAATATTTGAGTTATTCTCGGATCTAGTGGAGAAGTGTGGATCAGAATCTTAGTAAAAAGATTATTTTTGTATACATGTAATAAGGCCAGATTCTCTCAGTCAAGTCAAAGTGTATTTTACACTGAGTATTTTATGTCCCCTATTATTGTGTCTTTTTCTATTTATAGGGAACATGTTTCTAGAAACCCTAACTGTACAAGTGCAGAAATTATCCACTAGAATATTTTCTTTAATGTCTTATCTTGAAACTAACCGTTATAACTCTATCAATGGTATTCGACCTCGGCCTCAATCCATTACAACTCATCAACCTCATTCCTTGATGACTCTTCGACCACGACCTTCATTGTTCCTTAAGCCACTTCGACACATGGCAGCATAGGAGTGTTTCGCTAATGCCATCCTAACTCAAGTATTCTAGAGACAGATTTTGACTCATATAGTTAGTCCCTCCAGTCATCGAGGTCGTCCCCGCGGATGAGGTCGATGAGTGGACAATGTCATTTGTGATACAATTTTATCGAGCTGGCTATATAGGTCGTGGTCATGGATACAGGGCAACGTGGCATTCCGAAGCCCACACATTTTGAATTCTTTGAATTTCCTAGGAAGTTTGTTGGAGCCATCTGGTCCAAGAGAAAAGGTGACATCATGACATAATGCGCCATCATGACGTTGTTTGTTGACATGTTGTATCGATTCAAGTGTGGCCTTGATTGGCTTTGCAGTTTTGATCTTCATGCTAATCATGGTCTGCCATTTCAAATCAAGTGTCTTCCAAATCTTATAAATATGTGATGGTTTGTTGATCTTGAAACTTTTTCCAAACTTCTCCTTCTTCTTCCTAAGCAAGAGCTTCTCCTTCATCTTCTTTGCAGAATCCTTGAAACTCTCTGTTGTTTTCGAAAGTCGTTCTCTTTTGCTTTACCATCTTTTTTTTTGCCAACAATGTCCTTACAATCATCAGATATTCATGTGGAAGATCACTTCGGTCCTTTAGACACTGTTTTACCCGATCAGGGGGAAGATGGTGGAACTGCCGCTGAGGAGGAAAGTTTACCCACTATAGAGGAGATTTTATCCCGATATCTAGATCCCAAATCGGACTTCCATAAGGAGCTGGAAGTGGTGACAGATCGATTCAAATCTGCGATGATGGCGGAATGATTCGCCAAGCTCAAGGTTAGACTCAGGTTCACCGTCCCAACTTCTGCTCCTTTTATGCATACCCATTCTTGATTGGGTACTCGTTTACTTTATCGATGCTGATAGAAGACTTATGCCGGTACTACAACGTGTGCCCGGAATAGCTCGCCCCATATATCTCTAAGGTGGCCATGATGTTGACGGAATTTGCCGAATTGGCCGGCGTCGACATTATGGTGCGCCACCTAATCCATTGTTACACCCCATGTTTTCGTACGTGAAAGTATGCCGTGCGTCAATTCATGTAAGCTCAGAAATGAGATTCTCTTTGAAAGTATATAAAGTGATCTAATGATATTACATCCGTATTTCCGTTCAACATACAAACAACTAGGTTGAGGACAAATGCACTTAAACGCGAGAAATGAGATTTTGGACAAATAAAAACGAGCTGCTTGCCACCTGGCGTGCCTGCTTCACCAACATACTTTCCATCCTACTTGCCTGAGCTACTCAATACATGTCTAAATTATTTAATGCGGATGAGACACATGTTTCAAAATAGAAAAAGAATCAACACAATCACCTACTTGGTTAAGTAGGTGACAAGTAGGTGCATCGCCTAATTAAGAGTTTGTGGACAAAATTAAAAGGGAAAGGAAAAGGATAGAGATGGGTAGCCCAACCCATCTTCCCAAGCCCTAAAGTAGGGCCATATATACATAGATATTTCACTAAGAAAATAATTTTGAATCTCTCTATCTCTATTAAAACGTGAAGGAGCTCCAAAACATCATCCCAAGATCTCTCAAAGTTATCCTATATTCAAGACCAAATCCACAAGTTGGTAAAGTAATTTCTCTCTTGGAAGGTCAAGATCACCTAGTTATCTCTCTCTACTTTGTTGTTTGGGGTAAAGAGCTTGCTTGATCTTGAAGTAAAGCTTAGTTGGACAAGTAATATTGTTGCCAAGGTAAGGTTTAACTCTCCTATATGTATTTAAGATCATCTATGTATATCTAGTTGATTTGTTAAAGGAAACTTGTGAAGTAGGTTGAACTTCATGTTGAAGTGTTGTAGTTGTTGGACTATTTTGGAGTTGAATTCTTGACACTTTATGGCTGGAAATCAGTAGAAATAACTTAAGAATATTATTGCTATTGTGGTTGATGTGTTTAGACGGAGAGAAGGCTTANATATATATATATATATGTTTGTTGATATTTTGGACATGCTGGTATTGTTGTTTGATTTGAGGAAAATGAAAAGAAAAAGGGGAGGTGTTGTCCAAAATTTCATAGACGAGCTAGTCGCACATTTGTGTTGAGTTCTAGCTTCTATAAGCTTAACAATGGTCCCTTGTTGTTTGTTGTAGATTGACATACTAACGGTCTGAACCGTCGTCGTGTGGTTAGGTAAACGACAAAGGTATGTTAAAGTTATCCCTTCTTTCCTTTTGGCATGATCCATTTGATATAAACGAAACGAGCAAATGTGCAACTTTCATAAATGATACTATTCATAGAAGTACTAGGGGTGCCTATGTTCTTGATTACCCATGTGTCCTATTATTATATCATTTGTTCATGGGTCTCAAAAAATATGTAAGGTGATAAAGTTTATTTCATGATATTAATCGAAGGCATAATGATCTTATGACATTCCAAGAGATCTTATTGACTTACTTCAGTATGCATTGCATTCACTTATACATGTACATTGACCCGTGACCAGATGCTGTTATATACGCATATATTATATGTATATGGGGGTATCGAGAAAGGTTATGGCATTATATATGTACCACCACCTGATCAGCTGGTATACGTTGATGATTTTTCCCACAATGGCCGAGATGATATGATGGGATTCCCTCTAAGGCATGATGATGTTATGTACGCATATACCTATGCATAATATGGCATTTATATGCATATGCATGACATTATAAATGTTTTATGATTCACAGATCTATTCAGACTTACAGGTTGAGTCTTTCCTCCATGTTTCTTTCATGTTTACTATATACTCCCTTTATGCCTTACATACTCAGTACTTTATTTGTACTGATGTCTTTTTTGTCTGGGGATGCTATGTTTTATGCCCGCAGGTCCCGATAGATAGGTTGAGAGTCCTCCAAGTAGGCTATTAGCTCAGCAGAAGGTGTTGGTTCACCCCATTAGCTCCGGAGTTGCCTATTTGGTCAGTATGTTTTGGACATGTATTGATTGGTATGGCGGGGTCCTGTCCCGACCTTTATGATATTTAGGTACTCTTAGAGTCTTGTTGACAGATATCATGTATATGGATACTTGTATGTCCTTGTCGGCCTATGGTTTGAGTATACAAATGATCATGTCGACCTTATAGGTTCGTACGCCATATGTATAAGTCGGTATATCATGTTGGGTCGTCCTATGTCGAGTATTCCCTCATGTTTTATTCTAGTTATCTCATGATTATGGCTCATTTACCTATGATAGTATGACATAAAAGATATGTTATGTTGGTACTCAGTTGAGTAAGGCACCGGGTGCCCGTCGCGGCCCATCGGTTTAGGTCGTGACAAAAGTGGTATCAGATTAGTCTGTCCTAGAGAGTCTACAAGCCGTATCTAGTAGAGTTTTATGGGTGTATTGTGCACCACACAATTGTAAGAGCTTAGTTGTAAGAATTCAAACTCCTAAACTCTATTTTATTCGTAATAGAATGATACCTACATCCATGGTAAGAGATTACATGTGGCTGTGGAAGAGTTGAGTTAGAGGAACCCAATTTTTCATGATGCTTATGATGAGTAAATGTAAGGTCTTCAGCAGATCATTTATGTACTAAGACGTGTAACCTTCTTGATAAGGATCCTTAAGGCATGAATATCTATCCACCCTTATGGAAAAAAGCAATGAGAGCATCAGAAGGTAGATACAACTTTCAATAAGTAAAAGAAGCAAGGTGATGAAAGGTATGAGGTATCCAACTAGTGAAGATTAGCATTATTTACCATTCAGGAAGAGATATATAAGCATTTTGAGTTACCGTCAACAGTAACAGAGGTATGTACAATTGGCCACACCCATCTTAGTTATGCCCTATGAGAGCTAATAAATATAGTTTAAGAGAAGAACGAGTTGTCAGGATCTGGCTGGGCTTAGAGTAACCCAAAATAGTGGATGGATTGTTTGCGTTAGTTGACATTTCTGAAGGATATTGCAAATGTGCTAATAGATCTCCTTGTGAGACACCCAGACGGTGCACTCTAGAATAGTACAGGTAGATATGAATACTAGAATGTTCAAAAAAAAAAATTAATTACAAAGACAGGCACTGGAATACTAGAAGAGATAAATATTACTTTAGTGTAGCTCCCGTCCCTAGTAGAGAGAGAACGTTATGCAACCCGAAGAGCTAGTGGATGGAGCAAGGGGAGCTAAAAGCAAAAGAATGTCTTGTTGAAGTTTTCAAAATAAGGCGATAAACAGAAATGTTAGCAGGGAAATAAGAAGAGAGTTAACAAAGCATTATGAGCAAGATGTGATACATGATGACAACGGTAGATAAAAAAAATGACAGTATTACAGAGTCTATAGCCAAAGTAAGCCATGTTTGATTTTGGGTATACTTAGTTGAAGTATTTTAGCATTTCAACAGTGTTTAACGGAATTGTATGTTTAAGTTATTTCATGAATAAGTTTAGAGTTTAATCTTTTATTATTAATGGCATGCTAATAGGTTACACTCATGATTTGGTTTTATCAGCCTTTGATCTTTATCCATAAATTCTATATTGTTTTGTGTATATGTGACTTAGAGGATATTGAGCCTCAAGTGGGCCTTAATGTCAAAGGCCCTTTTATGTAGTCTCAACATTATGTAGTTCTTTTTTGTTGTTTGTATAAAGGAAATCAGGCCTCATTAAGGCCCAAATGCTGCAGGTTTTCTTGTTAAAGAAGTTGGGCCTGATGCTGGCCCAGATGAGGCAGTTTGTTAAAATCAGGTTCAGCGGGTACCTATTCTGTTTCCCGTTCACTTTTGGGCTTAATGTTGAGCCCATCTGCATTCAGCAAAGTGCCCAGCTGCATTCAGCAAAGTTTTGCCCATTAAGTTTTTTTTCCTGCTCTACTATAATAAGAAATGAACCTTTAATGCCGGAAACTTATTCATGAAAAGCTGGGCTTGATTTTTGGCCCAAACAAAACCGCTATGGCAGCCTACACCATAACTCTTAAAAGAATTTTTTAGATAATGCATTGGGCCTGCTCTTGGCGCAGTTCTCTTTTTCAAATAATTAAAGGCTTGCCTTATATTTCCATACATACTTACAACAATTAGCAGCTTGATATGGAACTTCGAATTAGTTGTAAAAATTGAACATCCTTAATTTGCCTTAATTGAGTTCAAATCTTTTAAAATAAATCGAGGTGTGTCATTCATAATTGAATCACCTAATCTATGGCTCTCACATTAATATTATAACTTAGTGTAGAAAATATTTGGAACATTCGTAGTTTGCTTTAGGCGCGTTTATAATAAAATCATCATCATAGCTACGGGTACGTTCCCGTGACGTAGTTGTGATACCTAATTTCCAAATTCGGGGGTATATTTATGTGACCCAGCCACAACAAATAATAAATTTAATAAATTAAACATGTTGTAGATCATGGGTACGATTCCCGTGACATGATTCACAATGTATATCAAACAAACAAGCGTACGACAAT